AGGCATGCCAGCTGGGAGGGACCTAATTATTTGATCCTCTCTTCAAGCAACTGGGTAGCTTTTTTCCAATTTGATGCCCTCTGGGTATGTTAGATTACCTTAGAGTTCCTAGCCAGGATAGCCATGGAAACGACATGGGTGCCAATGCCAGATCTGAAGCACCCTTGCACCCTTTGGATCCAGCTATTACACATCACTACTTGTTAGCCACAAAAGCTACAGCGTTGTCTCCTTTCATTATTAATCAGTTAGGCAAGCTTATCTTATTGCTGTTCATTTGAATGGCCGGTGCTCTCAGCAAGTTGGTACATTTCCTCCTCCTTCCATGTTAAAATGCTCTGAGTTGAATTGTGTCATTATAGTCATATGCATTGGTGTGGCTGGGAACTATGAGGTAGGCCTTTCCCATATAATCAAAAAGCCATATAGCCAAGTATTGACATAGTGCTCAAAATGACTGGGAAGTAAGTATACTTGTGTTGGCTTCCTGGGTCTTCTTGAAAGCTGAGATTATAGCAGTTGATTGGACTCAAAGGCCTTGCAACTTACAGCTTGTGGCTGTAGTAGTGTGTATCTAATTTATTACTATGTTCTTCTGTTTGGAGACATCTTTGTGCACGTGAAGATGCCGTTCACATAGTGGATTCTGGAGATATAATATAGTCAAAGTCAAAGGCAGCCCTGCTAAACTGAGAGATTTAGTTTGCAGTAGTATAAGCAGGACTTAATATGAAAGGCGGATATGGCAGTCTTTTCTTAGTGTTGCCCCAGTAAAGCCCACATAAATTTTATTTATTTATTTATCCATCCATCCATCCATCCATCCATCCATCCATCCATCCATCCATCCATCCATCCATCACATTTGTATAGCTGCCCATCTCCCACAAAGTGATTCTGGGAGGCATACAACAATTAAATAGGACTTAAAGCTTGCCCTTTCCCTGACAAGTATATATGTTGTTTTGGAAAGTTTGCCAGACATGGAGAAATCTTGCCCAAGGAATAAGGAGACTTGCCTGCCATTCAAGGATTTGGTTTGATGCTGTTGCATCTTCTTACTTGCCACTAGACTTAAAACAAACATATGAAGCTCCCTTCGGAGTGAAAATAGACAGATATTCTCAATATGGTAAAAGTGAACTCAACATACCTTAGGCATTGTAAATTTGAATAGAGTAAAACACATGCAAGGGATTAAGCTACGTACTCCGCCATACTGCTAGGGTCTTTCATCTGTTGGTCTAGGACAGGAGGATATGCCAGATGTCTCAACTTGTATCCCCTTGAACATGAATAGAAGCCTCTATATGACCAGGAGCTTTGCCTCTTGGGGTTTCCAGTCAAGTAAATAATAATACTTGTATTCGAGTGAAAGTTGATAAAAGTGCCCTGGAGTCATTCAAGGCAGTCGTTGCAGACATAGAAGGCGGAATGAGAATTTTATAGGTAGGGCTGACATGCACATCCTCATTTTTTTGAATGCATATTCATGGCAATGTGTTGCTTTTAGTGCAGTTTACCAGAAAACAAAATAAAACAAAAAAAGTTCTGAGCAACTGCATATCCAGTTCACTTTTGGAGCACTTTAGAAACTTAGGGGGCTGACTGTTTGCATCAAATTAGGTCATGCTTGCTTAATTTAGGGTGGGCAGTCTATGGGCTACATTTGATCCCTAGCATTCCATTAGTAGACCTTAGAACTCCAAGACTGGGCTGTTTAAATTCAGTTGTAAGTGCTAAGCAGCTTGGTACCTTCACCCTATCTTACCTTATCTTACCTTAAAACAACAGTGGGAATAGCAGTAGAAGGCCTTTGGGAGTCAAATTCTTTGCCCCCTCAACCCTTACAAAAGCAGCCTGAAGCTGTGCCACTGAGGTTCAGCCCTTTTGCCACTGAATTTCAGTGGCACCATTTCAGAGCATGTGGGGGTAGTTAAAGTTGGGATTAAAGTGGTTTATGTCCTATGGGTCCCGTCCCCATCATTAAGACCCCCCCCCAATCCAAAAGTGGATCAAAGAAGTCAAGCATGGTCTTCCTGAAGTGTCACTGGATGTCCTTAAGCATGTCAGGAGATTGAAATGTGGCCCCCTAGTAATTTAAAGGTTCCTCACCACAGCTCCAGCTCCACACTGTTGGAGACTCTATAATCCTGAAATGTCAGAGATTAGACCTGCGATTTCAGCCTGAAAAAGATGTGCCATGCCCCTTCTCATTTTCCTCAGCATTGCATTGCACCCTCTTGACTTCAAGACTATTACATTCTGGAAGAATGAGTAACACTTATGTTACATACTTTGGAGAAACCTTCACACTCTTTGTGAAAGGCCCTTAATTGACTTTGGTGGAATCTGCAATTGTTATGGATTCTTGGAGAATAGAAAGGAAAGATCAGCTTTGGAGAGTTAATTATTGGTCCCACTTTGTCTCCTCTTTGTGCTAAGGGAAATGCCAGACAGATGGAAACATATATTGCAGTCATTAGTAGCAATTAACCATGAAAGCCAGACGTACCAAGGGCAACCTTCCTGGAGCCACTGCCTCCTTCAAATGCCCCTTTGGCTGATATTCAAGACTTTGTGACCTCAGCATTCTAGAGGTGAATCCATTGTTGGGGAGGTCATGAAATCACTGCATTGCTCAAGGAGACACATTGCTGAGGATTGTTTCAAAAACCCTATAATCTTTCAAGCCCTATCTTGGCACAGCTCTTAAAATAAATAGCGATGGCCACTTTTTCTTGGGGGCTTCCTTGAGAGAAATTCTGAAAGAGAATGTGTAATCAACCCATGGCTACTACTATTAGGATGAGGCATACCAATACAGTGTTAATTCTAGGATGTGACTGAAGTGCCTCAGAGTGAAATGTCAAAATGAATGAGTAAAGGAATATCTAAATAAATGAGCAATTTGCATACATATTCTAAAAATGATGGGAGAGGGCCAGTTTGGAAAATGTGAGTAATCTGATAAAAATATTAGCACTAACCAATGTTAATTTTGTTGGAAAATCCAGAATGGCATAGCAAGCAAGTGTTGGACTGATTATTTCACTACCTGATTCATTAATCTTCATCAGCCAGAGGTGTCTTGCTTAAAGACTGATCCAAGTTGTTTGGATCCAGTTTTATGCTGTGCATGACAAACAGCCCATTTCTATAACCTTTGCAGTTTGCACAGAAGCTGGAAGATAGCTATGGATCTTGTGCATTTGTATATAATCTGGGATTTGCATTTTATCATCCTCTGAGATTTTTTGCTTTCTCCTGCTCGACTTAATTTCCTTGTAAATTTCTTAATTAAAAATCTGTTTAAAAAGTATAATTATGAGAAATGCAGATAAATCCGTATTACAGGAATTTGCATAAAGGATCCATAGCTGTTGTTAGTTGTAAACTTGCATTATTTTTGAATAAGAATGATTGAACTCTGCAACTGAAATGTATGAACACAAACTGGCATGGCAATTGTATCTAAATTACCTTTAGTGAACGTGCTTCATAGAAGCAAGACTTTTCCTGAATACTGCATTGTGCAATATACATGTATAATAAGTCACAAAGGGATCTTCCATATAGCTGTGTTACTGTGCATTCCTCTCATTCTTGAGTTATCAGAAAAATGTGCTAGCATAATTTGGGCTACCCTAATGGGTGAACTCTAATTTGCCTCAGTAATGAGACTTGTAAGTAGCCACTTTCTTAGTTTTACTATGAAATAATTTAAGCGTAGGAATTCCTTTGGCTTTGCCAGCCAGTTCGTCTTCTGGAAGACTGGTAGACCTGTGTCCAGAAGAATCCAGCTGACAGAGATCACATGGTACATTGAGAATGCTCCCTCCTGTTTCATTATGGTTGTCCTCCACCCCACTAACCTGTTAGCTGGACTGTCTTTGGATAGAAGTTTACCAGTCTTCCAATCACTTGGTTCAGAAAGGGACACTGATACAACTCTTGTTAATTTCACTTAGCTCCCAAATATTCCAGTTGATAAGTTGTGCTTGATGGCATTGCTGGTAGCAAATGTTTGCAATCAGCTGTACCTGGGAGTATCCTATGGTGTGTGCAAAATGGTATTAGAAGAAGCAGAATGGCACTACTTCCCTCTCCAAATATTAAAACAATAGAAAACATGGACATGCAAACCCCTTGTTGGGAGAAGCAGTAGAAAACCTTTAATTCACTTACATGGGACAGAACCAGCACTCTTTCTGAGTTTAAATTAACCAACATTCTTTTTTTAAAAAACTGACAGGTCTAATGGTCTTTTGAAAGAACATTAAACAGATCTCGTGCTCCTCCAGACCAGTATACCGGTGTTAATAAGGAGCCCATGTAATGCCTGAACAATGCCTGAGCAAAGTGTAGGTCAGGCATTATATGAATACATGTCTCTGCAGAAACCAGGTGTCCAGTTTCTCCTCTAGCCCAAGCCAAATGGCCATGCAGAGCAATGACCAACAACCAGAAGGGAGAGGGCATGCCAGCAGCAACCTCAACAATTCATAGGAACCTGGCAAGCTAAACTGTCTAAAAACAGTTAGTAAGGAATGTTTGTGTCACAATTGGCAGGATTTTAAGATGAACCTGAAGAGGTTTTACAATAGCTGAGGGTAAACATTCGAGTTTCTTGCAGAAGTTTCTTGCCAGAGGTGATTCTTAACGCAAATGTACAGGTAGTCCCCGGGTTAAGAACGCCTGTTTTATAGACGATCTGTAGTTAAGAACGAAGCCTATTGTAGCAAAATTCAAGTTAAATACACAGCAATTTGAGTTGGTTCAAGTTCATTACACAATATACAGTATTATACAATAATACGGTTCCAGCTTACATACAAATTCGACTTAAGGACAGACCTTGGGAACAGAACTTGTTCTCAAACTGGGGACTACCTGTATAGTACTGCCAGTCAAGGAATTAAGTTTGCTGAAAAGCTGCAGCGTTAATTATCTTCTGTGCATCTAACTGATATTTTCCTCCTCATCCTCCTTTTAGAGCTGCTGGCAAACTGTTCAAGTATGGGTTGCCAACACCATTGTGTCCCGACTCTGAGTGGACCAACATGCTATTGTAACAGTTCCTTCCAGTTAGCTGAAGATGGGAAAAGCTGCAAAGGTAGGTGAAAAATACACAAATAGGCTACATTTATGGGTTTTCCTTAGACAGACCTCACTCATAAACTCTCTCTCCTTCCATCATGGGTAAGAACAATGATAAATTGGTTGTTGTTGCAGTTTTTAAGATGCTTATTCAGAGGTTTTTCCATCACAAGCCACATTGAAAAATGTGAGAGATGCAGTGGACTTCCGGGGAAGAAATGGCAGACTGAAGATGGAGCTGATGACTGCAGCGAAATGAAGAGCCGGCAAATAGACTGGCTCTTTGATAATTCCTCTCCAGATAAGGAGAGGACTTGAGATCGCCCACAACTGCTCCAGACAGTTGCTCAACACAAGGAGATTGCAAGACAGCAGTCTCCTGCGGGTTCAGAGCTCTAGGAGATGAGGGAATAGCCATCTTTTTGCTCAAACCACGGTTGATGCCTTTGAAAGGATACTGGCTTTGCACATTTGTTTTTCTAATCACTTTAGGAAATTGCTTGTTAACTGCTTTTCAGCTATTAGGAACCTTTGGATTGACAA